TTGTGTCTCTTTTATTCGCATTTCAGGTTTTTGTTATCCATCAATTGGGCGATTTCTCTGGAAATTCCACCTCCGCCCGTATCCATCAGCATCCACATCCGTCAGCGAGTGTCGCGACCATCGTTCCCCGGTAATATTATTTGGGGTGAACGTCGTGTATTGAACGCGATGGGCAAAAGCGGGGGGCGGGTGGCGGGTCCAAGTTAGACCGTCAGTAAGCGTGACGTGCCTTATTTGAAATGCATCCCCCAAACTACAGGATACACGGTTTCCTTTTACACGCTGTCAATGCCCAGCAGCACGTAATGCTCATTTGGACACCCCGACTGTATCGTGACCCGCCGTTACGTCGCCGGTGCGTCCTCTCCGTCTCGCATGCTCGTCCACATTGAAGCGAGAGTGAGACGGACGGAACGGCGAGTGCGACAATCAAAGGATGTCCTAGAGGGAAGGTTGCATGTGGCGGATGGTCGGACGCGGTACAGCGACGGACTTGAGAAAATTAAACGTTCTCGATTGGTCGTCGAGAACTTTGTGAAAGTTCCACGAGCGCTTCGTACGCAGAAAATGCTAGATTGGTTCGAGGAAACGCGGGGTGATTTGTTTTCTGGGTTCTTAGAAAGCGCGAGGATAATAGGAGGATTAATTAAGAAAATAGTTTGCACACGAATTGCTGATTAGCTGATATACGGGTATTGATCGAGGAATGGGGTAAAGCTTTTTTGGAAAGGGACACAAAGTGACACTTTTCCTTGTTTCCACAATATAATAATTATCATACCTAGTGATTATAGTGATGCGCTGGAAACTTGTTGAAAATAGCTATTTTAGAGATTAGAAAGGTTTTGAAATACCCCTAATAAAACATTTGCTTTCACGTTTTATTACTGTAATTGTGTGCAGGTACAAATTGTGGACTAGTAGTAATCTCTTAAGCTCCGATTTGTTTTATGTGATTTTGGTCAAAGAGTGGTCACGAAATAACTCTTCCACGGTTATTACAAACCGCTCAAATGACCAGTTGGGCAATTGTTTTTTTTTATAAAACAGCCCTAAACTATTCTTAGACATATGCCTTCTAATCGTATGTGGTCTAGAGATGCCAAAAAATGCAAAAAACCTCAAAAAAAAAACCTACAAATTTTTAATAAATTCACGTTTTTTTATGAAATTTCGCTGACGATCATGAAAAATGTTGTTCGATACACGTGCACTGTCTTGTTTTTCAGGTCTTCGACCTCCACTGCAGCACTCAGCTTCGCTTCGTGCCGAAAAATTCGGTTTCAGACCTGAAAAATAATTTGACAGTGCCCTTGTATCGAAAATAACTATTTTGACAAGTTAGTATTTTTTCCAATTTTTGAATTACAACAAACACATCTGTTTTGTTATAGCATGCAAGGTAATGTAATTCAGGCGCGGCACACTATCAACTGATTAGCTACTATTTGCAAATTCGATCATTTTAATTCTAATAGGGTTTTTACAGGTAGAATCAGCGACATGCACACTCACAATAATTTCATGCATATGCACCATTAATTATTATTGTAATGTAGGAGAAATGTGGCTAATTTGGGATACCATAGTATGTATTTTTTTTACAAGATATGTATAGTCGTCACCAGGAATATTTGGGATTGACGTATGTAAAACTTTATTGAGGGTTAAGCAGCTTTGTGGTCGACCGTAATAATTTTTCACTGCGTGTGGTACTACCCAGAAGATGTAGAAAAGAGCCGTATTCAGGAATTTTTGTGGTGGGCTTTTAATTTATTACAGGCAAACATTTGGGAATTAATATATTAATTTAATATTAAAGTGATAATGCAGATTTGTAAAGAAAATATAACTGAATATTAAAATTAATTTAATTTCTTTTTTTGATGAAAGCCCAAAAACAAATTTCTGTTACGGACCATCTCTTCCTACAAACCTTTGAAACTTGCCTGTCCTAAGAAATGCAAATTTGTTTATGGCATCTCTACCGCAAGCCCCATGAACCACCGTGGGGGGTAAGCGGCTTATTCTATAATGAGTCTCAAATATTGTTGGTGACGACTATAGCACTATCTATCTATCGACTAGGTGTTCTAAACAATTCCCTTTTCAGATTAATTATTGGAGAAAAACGTGTGGTTCGTATGATTACCGGAGCTTAGTAAAATAAAATTTTGTGTTTTTCATAAAAACCGCCATACAAAAAGATTGTACCTAAGGATTGTATTCACTAATTCTGACAAAAAGCTAATTTTATTTATTTTATTATTAACAGACACGTAACTAAGTATTTTCAATACAATTAAGTTGTATTTTCTATATACAAGGTGCGCCAGAACTCGCGCCCCAGAGAAAAATTTCATGTAAGGTAAGATACCAGGAACATGAAAAAAATGTTTAAAAAATTCTATCTGTCAAAAAATTTTGACATTAATTTTTTGACATTTGACATTTTTTTATGTCTATTTAATGATACTGATGATCTTGTATATGTTTTTTTACAATTATTTCGTAAAGGTACAAAAATTTTGCCAATAAAAGCCACATATAACATTGAACAGAGTTACAATTTAGAATACAGTTTCCTTGTTTCCTCTTTTAATAGCCTATAGCAAAAAATTTGAAAAATTATTTTTCCAACAGAACTAAATAGAGTAAAAGTGCAAAATTTAAACCCAAACTCCAAAATTTTTATAGATAGCTTTTTTTTAACATTTTTTCCATGTTCCTGGTATCTTACCTTGTATGACATTTTTCTCTGGGGCGCGAGTTCTGGTGCACCCTGTAGGTTAAAATTATTCTTGTTGGTCAAAATAGCAGGTTCGACTATAATGAAAAAATCAAACGTAAAAGATTTTGCCAGTCTGAAGATAAGGATAGTAGTAATACTGACGAAGATCCTGCATGTTTTTATTATTAAAGTTACTATTCAAAAAGCAAAGGTGGAGAGGAATGGAGATTTGCTGCACATTATGCAAGAAATAGGTTCATGGTTCCTGGGTTGGGGTAGAAATTGATGAAGACTTTACATGCGATAAATATAAATATGTTGAGTAAACGTTGAATTGAAATGTTAGAAAACTGAATTTAAAATATTATTTCTATGCTATATACAGAGTGAATATAAAGTATGGAACCAAGCGGATTTATTTTTAATCATTTGCCTCCAGAAAATAATAATTAATATAAATTAAAGTAATATAAAAAATGTGATCGTATTTTCAGAACGAAATTTTGTTTTGTTTTTGTAATATGCGATTTTTTTTTCTCAAAATTGCAATTTATGTGAAATTTTTTTTTTTAAAAAATTAAATATAAAGCAGATAGTTGTAATCCTTAGAGGATAGATTTTATGAGAAAAATGATTTTTTGTAGAACTCAAAAACAAAAGGAAATTTCGAAAAACTTAATTCTTGTTAAACCATCACATTTTTATAGTACTTTATCACTCATCAATTAGTTTTTTCAAAAAATAAATAGTTTAAGCAAAAAACGTTTGGTTCCATACTTTTTATTCACCTGGTATATACTTACTGCCTACCCTATCTCATTTTAGAAATATGCAATATCCCATTTTATCAACACTTGTGGGTAAAATGGTAAATTTGCAGATACCTTAAATAAATTTTGATCACGCAACCACGATAATGAAACTTTACTTTTGTATGACTTTTCAATAAAAGAATGTTTAGTCTATCGTCTAATAAACTTGTTTTAGTTATTGAATTTGTGAATATTTCTACAAAAAGTTTCAAACGTTAAATGTCATATTTTACACACATTTCTTCTACGAGTATGTGTATTTCTGCAGAAACAAATCAATTCGTCTCAGATCTTGCGAATGGTAATTAACTAATTAATTTCAGTACTTTCCGAACGAGTCCATCAAAACAGACTGATCTTGAACGGAATGGTAGTATCTGATTGATATGAAATGTTGCCAGTTTATAGAGGAGTTTCTAGACATATACCGGGTGTGCAATATTCACGCCTCTATAATCATTGCTGCAATAATTACTCCTCTAAGTGGCTATGTTGGTGACAAGTCACCTGCTATTGAACGTTACTTATAACAGCAGGTACATATTAAATTATCCCAATTACGCACAGTTATGACGTCAGACATCTGTCATTCGCAAAAACCGTAGTTTTTAAAACACTTTCACTGCGGCAAAGTGTCATATCATAATTCAGATGTTAGGATTTGGGCAAAACTTTGTTTACTCCACAAAGTCAAAGAATGAGGACGCGACAAATAAACAGAAAAAAGGGACAAACTGGAACTCATTCAATTTATCTTTATCTGTCAGGAGTTTGGTTTACGATGAATTTTGTTCCTTCTTTTTTTCTTATTCTTGTTTGTGCATCTCATTTTATAGTAGCACAATGCAATGCACTAAAAAAACGAGTTGCAAAAAAGTGTTTGTTTCAGCCTTCGCGATATCCAAATCGGAATACCACCCGAGGAAACAAAATTAATTACGAGTTGACCTCTTAATTGCAGATTGAGCAGATTCGAATTGAACGGAATTTTAAGTATGTTGGGGCTGATGTCCCACCCCACGCTCCCCTAATTATTAAATTCTGAAGCGGTTGAGTATTTTTAATAAAAATGAATCGGTCCAATAATGGTTTTCTAAGATAAACGGTGATAAATTTAAAACGTTGAGCGGTTAATTTAACAAAGTTTGCTTGTTAACTTGGTAATTCGTTTTGTACGCTTCTAAATCACTCCGGCAAAGTTCAAATGAGTCAAGAGAGCTGGAATGAAGTAGAGCTTTTTATTTGTTTTGTAGTTTTACTACGCTTTACTACGAGCCATTCATATCTCCCATTCATAAGGGACTTTATTGTTTTTTATTCTCTCTACAAGCTTCAAACTTTACTATTATCGAGTTAAACGGGACGTAAAATTTGTTTTAAAATTTACTTGAAGCTCTTTCAGCTCGGATGATTTATTTTTTAGGTTTTCGAGGGGTTCTCGTGAATGAAAAGACAGGTCAATGTCGAAGAGTTTTATTTAATTTGGTACAAAAATATTAGATAAATTTATTATACAACAATGTACAAATAACACCATAATTTTAGCGAAATTCGATACAGGGCAATAAATCACTGAAAGTACATACCACCCTGTATAACAGTAAAATCACTTAAATCTAAGGAACAATTCTGACATGTATTGCAAACAAATTACGACCAATCGGCCGTGCGGCGAAAAAAACTTTGGCAGACAGTGACATGAGATCTGAAATAGGAAAAAAACAGGTCTATAACAAACACACAGTTAGGTACATATTTGAGCAAAAATAATGCGAAAATTATTTGGCACTATTAATAGTCTTTACAATTAAATTTATCTAAATTCGACTAAAGTAACGTATGTACAAACAAATTTTTAAGCGTCAATAAACGGTTTGTCAAGGTAACATTTAAGGAAGAACGGGCGTAAACATAAAGGATACTCTAGTGCGAGAAACTCCGGTATCCATCGAATCAACACCCGTATAGACTTTTTACATAAACTACATAATTTTTAACTAATAAGATTTGGTAGCTAGACAGCCTTTTTTCACTAGACGAAAGTAAATCACTTTCTTTTAACTTTGGTTTTGTTCTGCAGATGATCACCATTCTTCCTGTCCGCACTGTTCTTTACGTTACTCAACAACGCCCTGAACTGCATTATCTGCATTGCCGTCACTGAAGGGTTACTGCAAGATTCCAGCCACTTCAAAAATTTCTCTCCATGCTCGACGGCCTCACTATACGACAAGCAATCCTTTTTATCCATCGTCACGTTATTGTTGTTGATATGAAGCAAATTGTCCAAGACTGACTTCACTTTGTTGTTGTTGTTCGACTTATCCACCGAAAGATTTTCCGCATCGGGTGAATCCTTCGTCAGTTGTTGATACAAAATTGGCTTTTCCGGGGTTACGGCAGGTGTGGCACTCTGCTGATACGAGAGCTGCTTGTACCAGTTCCAAAACCAGGAACTTTGCATGTTTGATGTTGAATTTGTTGTTGTCGTGACCGGAGGAAGTCCATTCGAACGACTGTGACTCAATATCGCTTCTTGCGCTTTCAACCAACTGTTGATGTACTCTTCAACCGATTGTTGTTCTTTGGGCGGCTTGATAGAGTTTTGTTGTTTGAGAGTTGAGCTGCTTGGAGTTGTCGTGTCAGGAGTAACTTTCTTGTTAAGTTGATGTTGCATCAGAATGTTGTTCCACTGACTGAGGAGGTTGATATTTGTGGCTAGATCGGCAAGACTAGAAGTGTTGTTGGTTGAAGAGGTGAACATCTCGGGTCGGTTCAAGCCAAGTTCGACACTCAACCTTGCCAATTCCGCTCGATTTCGCTCGCGTTCGGTTATTTGGGAGGCTGTCTTGGGGGTAGTTTCCGTCTTGATGCTGAGATTTTGCGGCGTTTTCGGTGTGCAATCGATGTCGTTTTTAGTATAGTCCATCGGCGTGTACAAAGACTCGGAATTGGTAGGTGTGTAAATGTTTGACGATTTCAAGCTGAGATTGAATGGCTGTACTATCGGATCTTCGATTTTCGGCCGCTTGTCTTTAGGTTCGATGGATTCGTCCGTGTCAGGACTGGACTGTCGAGAGAGATAAGAAATTTTGCTTTCGTTCTTGCACCATCCCCTGAGGGTGGATTCGGGCACGCCGATGTCCCTTGCGACCGAGGCCTTGCTCTCGCCATCGTGCACCCTCCTGATGGCCTCCAGCTTTCCGTGAGCGCTGATAGTGCGCAACGAGCGCTTGACGTTCTTCGTGGACATCGTCTCCACCGAGAGGAGCACGTGGTGGAGGCGTGCGACGAGCCAATGGGAATGCGCCCGAGTGCGCAGTTGTAAAAAACCTCACCGCCAAAAACTTCACACAAACAAATGAAACTTGCGGCCAAGTTTTGACGAATGTAGTTGGGAGTGACGCAGGCGCGCGCTTTTCTCAAACACCGGGTATGATGAGTGTGCGGACATCCGCTCGCGACGGCCGGCTAGTGGCAAGTAGTAGTTTCTTGCGAGGTTGGCCAGTCGGTGGTCAGTTCCTTTGTCCAGGCGATCAATACTGGCGACGGACGAACACGGACTGAGCGCAGGGCAGGCAGAAGCAGGGAGGTTCGCGGGTCCCCGCGTGATGGCTTGACGTGACACCCTCCCACCCCCGGTGGTAGGGACGGGTGAATACTTGCGCGAAGACGCGTTCACGCAGCTCAACAAGCACGACAGCACGAGATTCGCAACGGAACGGCACAAGAATCACGTGCGAGAACAGCTGATGGACGACTGATACAAGAACATAAAAGAAGCCCTCCGTAGACGAAAAATAAACAATTAAATAAACGATGATACGGTACTGACTTATTTGACAGGGTGGCCGCGGTCAATTTTCGCGATATGCCATGTGGCCAGTTTCCATTCAATTTTGATACAGTGAGCGGAAACAAGCTTTTGTCATTAGTGATCGCCAACGTATTTGGAAGTAATTAGTACAAGGCATCAACATGTCGTGTTACTAATTACAAATAAAGCTACACTTTTTAGGGTAGTTTTTTCTTTGCAATTATAAGTACATATTATTATTAGACTGGACCAAAAACACTAACACTAAGCCACCCTTGTTACCCTTGTGTGCGTTTATGGTCAAAGAGGCACCTGCAAAATGACCTACCCAACAAAGCTAAACAGCTCTTAAGTAATTAAACCGCATTGCCGTTCTTATATACCTGCAACTCGAAATAACAAACCGTTGTTGTCGCTAATAAGCCCTCTTCGACGCCAGACATTCAAGAAAAATTTCTACAGTTTATGACGTTTTAATCACCTCTTTTCGATAATTTCTGTTTACTTTTCTTAATCAATATTTCGCCCAGCAGATGTGACGACCTTTGTTGTTATTACTTAGCATAATGTTTTTGTTTGTTATGAAGCTGAAGGTAAGAGCCCAAAATTGAAAATTATTTTTTTTGTCACAAAATTATCTGTTTAACAATGTTTAATAATTTTTGCACAATTTTAATTTTCGTTAATTTTAAATCCATTGAGAAGAATTCATGGCACCTGTTGTAGGTTGTAGTTATGTTGGAGTGGTTCGATTAATTTTAAATGAGAATTTTTCACGGTGGATTTGACTAAGGTGTCGTTATGCATTTGTAATAAAAAAATAATTTCATTATTTGCGATTTGCACAACTAAATAAAAAAAACAAAGTTTTTAACTTCAGTCTTTAGCATACTTGCAGCCTCACTACACTGATGTTTAAACATTTTTTAGCAGAACTTCCTTAGTTTATGAAGGTATACTTCTGTTCTGACCCTGTACAAAATTCCAATTACAACCTTAGGGAGTCGTAAAGATCTTATGTTTTATAAGCTTGTATAAATGCTTGCGAAAGACCCCACTAAACAGAAAGTTCTCTCGTTATTGAATGATGCAAGAACATTATCATTGTTGCGGGAATAACTTCACTTAAAATGTAACAACAGTATAAACAACCAAAAATATCTCAGTTTTGTTCGTTCTTAAACCAGTAATTTTGATTTTTTAAGTTTTTTAGGCAGGTTTCTTAAAGCCAAGTGTTATTAACAGATAGTTTGGACGAGTTTGAGTGTAAATCTGAGGCTTTATTTCACGGGTGGATTTTTAAACCACGAGTGTTTAACGAGTTGTTTATCATCCACGAGATGGAATAAATGAACCGATTTACACGAAAACGAGTTGAATACAACTTTTTATTATTCGAATTAGACTTAACAACGCTTAAAAATGCTTTAAATCTGTTAAAAATAATCTGACGTTTCGTATTGAGAAATACCAAACAGTTGTCAAAACTTCCTTACACAGGAGAAAAACCGTAAATTTTGACAGTGTCGAATACTAAAGAAATAAATGTACTCTTATGTTATCATCTTTAAAATTAAGGCACTAATACTTAATTTTTCATCCTATCATTTCCACCCATTCCACCCTTTCTGCAAACATTTCGTGTAATATTTGAGAATTTAACAGCCTCCTTTTTGGAATCCATCAATACCATCTTGTTCGTTCGAAGGGCGAAATCGCGTGTGTTTCGGCTGCGTAAATCGGGCCTGAGCGTTGGGTTTGGGGTGGACAGGCAGGCGGGGGGTGGCAGAGGGCTGTAGGTCGCGGTCCGCGGACCCCCAACGGTCGTTTGGACGTCGACGCGGGGTACGGCGGGGGGTTCGCGAACCACCTTCCTGCCCGCGCACCTCACCCCGGCGACGGTTCACTCTGGTAAACAGCGCCCGGCCTTCTCCGCGTGAAATTACCGGGGACTAACTATCGACATCGGCACTAAAACCCACTCCGGATGGACCCTCCGCAAAGTGCGTCACCGACGTTCTCCTACACAACAATATCGGACGGAGGCGGCGACGGCGCCGTCACCATGCCAGTTGGATTTTGGATTTTTGGATTTTTACCGGTCCGACTTTTTTACACTTCTTTATTAGCGTCGTTTCGGACACGAAAGGCAAAAAACGCATTGTTCGCAGTGGAAAATAAGGCGAAGGTTTTGTCGAAATAAATTGGAGAGTTTTGCGAGTTTCTGATCGAAATGATCGAATTCGACGTAATCATAAGCTTGTGTTATGCCTCGACGCAAAATATTACCCTCATTTATCATGGTTTGAGGGATTCAAATAAAAGATAATCCGAAATAAGCTTTACATGTACGAAACAAAAAAATGTTTTGACCGTCGGAAAATTCAAATACTATTTTTACTTTAACACGTTAAATCCATCAATAGTTTTTAAACCTTAAGGATGTTTGTTTTTCTGAACCATGAAAAGAAAGCTAAACCTGTTCAAAATAAGCTCTATCGCTAGCCGTTTATCCTAGAGGAATTTAATAATGTAGAAGCATCGCAAAACGCTAAACAATTTTTTACCATTAAAGGCAAAATGATCCTTTCTCGGGTAAACGTGCTGTATATTGTCGGCAGAGATAAGAAGATTGACAAAACCCTTCGTGCTTAGGTCTAATATACACAAATTGATATAATAATTATGGTACGGTCTGCACCTACGCGAAAATGTCATGACGCAGCGTCCTGAAAGGACCTACTTTCCAGATTTTGTATAAATTTATCGTTAATTTTCTAAGAAAACGCGTTGTTGCTTTAAAAACAAACTAAAAGCGAAAATTTAATTTTTTTATCTGTGACTATCAAAACTACCAGACTTTTGAGAATTTTGGTTTGGCTGATTTTATTCTAATCTAATGCAGCAAATACAGGTGTCCGGAAAGTAGCGCACCTCCTTGAAAGGAAGTAAGAGTACTCAAAAAATGTTTAAAAAATTCTATCTGTCAAAAAATTTTGTATTTTGTACTATGATCTTGTTTTTTTTATAATTATTTAGTAAAGGTAAAAAAATTTGCCAATAAAAGCCACAAATAACAATAAATAGAATTACAATTTAGGATACAGTTTCCTTGTTTCCTCTTCTAATAGCCTGTAGCAAAAAAACTTAAAAAATTATTCTTCCAATAGAAATAAATAGAGTCAAACTGCAGAATTTAAACTCTCATAACTTCGAAATTTTTATAAATAGATTTTTTTTTAACATTTTTCTTGTTGTCCAGGGCATCACTCGATGATACAGTGTGGAGGTGTGCGATTTTCCAGACAACCTGTATGTATTTAAATGCGCAATTTTTCAGTATCTATTAGACATTCGTCTGATTTGGTTCTAAAAATATGAAAAATTTCAACCCAAAGCTTAGTGCAAATAATTTATATGGATCACAGCGAGAATTCTGGAGTTGTGGGACTACATAAAGATTATAATACATGGTTCGACTCTATGCAGACCTGTGCAAATGTTTAAATGAACAGCAACAAGAGTTGGTACTCCGCCTCTGCTTATATATTCCTTCGTCCATCCCCCGATGGTATACTGTGATTGACATTTTCTTGTCACAAACGGCGGCCTCTGATAATCAAATTATCCGTCGTCGAATTTAGGACTCAACCCTGATCGTTCTAATTTAGTTCGGGACTTTCCCGATCGACAAAAATTTACTTCGATAAGTGAGGGTTTTAATATTTGCGTCAAGCTTTGATGTATTCGCTACAAAGGAAAAAACGTGTGATAGAAAGAACATCTAATTATCTCGTTATGTCCCGCATCTTTGCCAAAGCCCTATTTTTTTTAACGGCCCAATTAACGTTTGACGTATAACGTGAAAACGTGAAAATTATCATAGTAGCACTAAATGGTTTATTTTGATCATTATACAAAATATCTCAGATTTAGTTGTTAAAATAATATTCACAAATCAAATTGATATTACTCGTACGTTTCGTAGATAAAGTACCTTTATTCACGATACAATAACAACAAAAAATTATCACAAATTCAGGTTCTGATTGAAAAAAGCTAAATGTCAAGTTTGCTGCAATTTGTGATTCCCAACTTTCCCTCGTATTTATTCAGTTCATTAAGGCCTTTTCTCTTAATCTGGATACTATGAAAAGGCAAAAGCTCGTTTAAAGAAGAAACTCTCTTGGAACAATACAAACCCGGAATCATAAATCAGTCCAAAGCCAATAAAAAATTTAGTATTGTAGCCGTATTGTGCTAATAATTACGTAATGTCGTATCGATCTACCCTGACCCAACAAATATGTATTTTATAAAAATGCCTATTTCTTTCCGATTAGCTAATTTAATATTTACAGTGTCATTATCTGTGAGTAATTTATGAAACTTCCGATGGTACTTGAGCATTTTACTCATCAGTGCCCATTTTACTAGGTTTTAAACCATTTGAAATATTGTTCTCAGTTTCCGAGTTACAGCGTCAACAATAAAAGTTGAATAAACAACTTTTCCAAGGGTTATAAAAGCATCCCTTTAACCGCATCGTGTCGGTAAGATTTATTCGAACGCATCACAGGTGGGCACTTTTTGTGTAAGTTGCAGCATAAGAAACATCAACAACGGTTGAATGAAATCATAAAAATTCATGAGTGACGGAGTTATGAATGAAAGAACCGAGAGAGAATGAGAGCGTGTGTATGTGTTTGAGCTCATTCGATGTAAATAAAACGTTTTCAACAGGTTGTCGTTTGTAAACACATCACGTTGAGCTTTTTATTACGTATAATCGCAT